ACGCCCACAAATTTTATCAAATTTTTATCCTTCCTCTTGAAAGATATTCTCCATTCTTCCAACCCCATCTGTCCTAAGCAAATGACTAGCCACTTTCCATCTCTTCAGATTTTCCTATTCTTAGCAGAACCTATATATAAAACTTACAATCTATATTATTTCACAAGTAGTTTCACTTTGCATAATATTTTCATGGTTCATGCATGCTGTAACATGCATCAACGTTTAATTTCCTTTTTATGGCTGAATAACATTCCATCCGAAAATACTATTCACTCACCAGCCAATTGACATTTTGGTTATTTCTAGTTTGGGTATTGCCAATATATCTCTATGAACATTCATATACAAATTTTTGTGTGGACTTGAGTTTTAATTTCTCTTGCAATTCTGTCAGCTTGGATGTTGTTTTAACATTCAAGTTGTTTAAATAGAGACTTAAGTATAGAACCTTGAACATGAGAAAAAGAGCCCACGTGCTCTTGTGGAAACTCATTCATTTACACATCTGTTCACCAACTCACAGATCAGGGTGACTATGTGTGTAACACCACCGTGGAGATCCCAGCCCCACAAGCCATGGCATGTGTAGTTGTGTTTCAGACATGTCCCATGAAACCTCGTTCAAGTTCAGAGCAGAGAAGGAAGCCACATCTCGCTTGGGTTCTCACGAAGTCTTCCCGGAGAAGTAGATATAAGGTGAGGTTCCTAGCTGGAAGGAAGTGAACATGAAGAAACAATTACACCTGGGAGGGATTTTTTTTAAAGCCTATCAAAGGCAAATATGCAGAGCCTTCGATGTTAATCTTAAAGAGTGTAGATGACCTTTCTAGATGTCATGGGAGGTTTTAGAATGGAGCAATGATGCAATCTGAGAATTGGGATTGGTAAGGAGTACGGGGAGAGCCTAAATGTAAAAGAGCATGCTTTTCTTTGAAGTGTAAGATACAAATGGGTCAGAAATGATGAGCGCAGATAGAAGGACGGGAGAGGTAGGAGAGATGCTCCAAGGATACACGGCCCAGTCTTGGTCATTAGTTGATTCATGCAGCAGATTTTGTCAGCAACAGTGCCAGCCACTAAGGAGGAAAGAGTAAGCGAACGAGATGTGACCCCTTCCTCGCTGCCAAAAATGGCATTTGTTTACCTTAAGATGGATGTGAGGAAGGATGAAGGGTGTGAATGAGAGTTACCTGAGGCTCCACGCATCCGTGATGAGGGGCCTGCGGGGTCAGGGAAGAAAGGAATGCTTCCTTGACAAAATGACATGGTGGGCTGGAATAGAAGGGTGAGGAGAGACTAGTTAGGTGTAGATCAAAAGGCAAGACATTCACACAGAGGGGACAGCATGGACCAAGACTCTATAAATAAGCAGGCCTGGAAGGCGGTCACTGTGGAAGGGGTTCCTGCGAAGGGATGGGTCTAGGATACAAGGTAAAGCTGCAGAGCTGGTGTGCATCCTGGAAAGAGGAGGTGTACCCTGCACACTATTCCAGGTGTGAGTAAAAGGAGATAAGGAGCTTTAAAAAAAATAAGAAGTAAGCTCACTGCTAATTATAGCAAGAAAGTCTTGTGAGTGAAAAAATAGCTGGTGGGAAGCTGGATTCAGGTGTGTGTCTGGGGAAATGAGGCGGGGGGGGGGGGGGGGGGGGGGGGGACCACGAGGAGAAGAGTGGGAGAATCCAGTCATGAGACCCAGGCATATACGTGAACAGGGAACTGGGAGGATTGAGGAGATGGATGGGGTTGGGAAAGATGGGGGGAAATGCTGGGAGGAGTGACACTGATCGACATGCACCGTACTCATACACCGACATGCTGAACGGAAACCCTGTGCACAAAGAGAGAGGGAAAATAGTTACTGGACAACAGCGCCGGCACGTTCACTGCAGACGGGAGTTGCACTCCGAGGCAAACGCTCAGATGCTGAGCACACTCACCAGCCAGCGGCCTGTCTGTGAACACACCAAGTGGAGACCATTGTGAGCCTTTTCTGTATATGAAGAGCAATGGGAAGTCACAGAAGGAGTTGAAGAGCCGGTGGTGGAAGCCCCGCTGTGGAGTGTGAGTTGGGAAGCAGACAAAGTTAGAGGAAAGAAGGCCAGGAGCGTGTAGTATCCTGTTGTAGACAGAGGTGTTACTACAGCTGAGGGAGCCAGGTCACAGGATAAAGTCACGGCGATATGCTGAGCGTGGAGGAGGCTAGGGACAGCCATGGTGAAAGCCATCTGCAAGAGAGGAGAAAAGAGGAGCGTGGCCAGGCGCTGGTGGCTCACGCCTGTCATCCTAGCTATTCAGGAGGCTGAGGTCTGAGGATCATGGTGGAAAGCTAGTCTAGGCAGGAATGTCTGTGAGAGTCTTGTCTCCAATAACCACCAAAAAAGTCGGAAGTGGAGCTGTGGCTCAAGTGGTAGAGCACTAGCCTTGAGTGAAATAGCTCAGGGACAGTGCCCAGGCCCTGAGTTCAAGCCAGCAACAAGCACAAAAAAGAAAGGAAAAAGAATATGAGCAGAAGTCTTAAAGTAAGAGCGCTTGTACTGTTAGCTGGACTGAGATCTTAGGCGACGGAATCCAACAAAACCCTCTGCTCTAGAGGCTGTGTCATAAAGATTAACGTCAGAGATGGGCAGATGGCATCAGCACTGTGGCGCAACAGAGCGAGAAGCCGGTCAGGAAGTCAGGTGCAAGGATGCTGGGGTTTTCTGGGAGTAGAGAATAAGATACACCCGGATGTTATTAAACTACATTCTAATCAGTACCTCCAACTTCACAAGTCAATCTTTATGTGTACCAACTGCCTACCCCACCTTAAGGTGTCATTCTGCTTTCCTAATAAATCGCTTTTTATTACGTTCCTAGTCTTTGTGCCTCTTTTGCCGCACCTAGGGAACGAGCTTTGCTCATCTTAGGCATTGTATCCAGAAACTCAGGAACGTCTGGGCTACCCCAATACTGCTAACTCAGAGGGTAGAAAAGGAATGCCATAAATGTAGTGTCTAAGGCTGGGCCACAGGAGTCACCGTTCTGGAGGCTAGATCCCAAGAAACACTAACATTTTGTTTTGTTTTAGTGCCATTCCTGGGGCTTGAACTCAGGGTCTCGGCACTGTTCCTTTTTTATTTTGCTGCCATTTGAGCCATAGCTCTATTTGTGGCTTTTGTGTGTGTGTTAATTCGAGTTAAGGGTCTCATGGACTTCAAAGCTGGACTGGCTTCAAACCATGATCCTCAGATGTCAGCCTCCTGAGTAGCTAGGATTACGGGCCTGAGCCACTGACTAAAATGAATGTTTTTAAACAGATTTTGAATGCCAAAAAGATGTCTCTGCCTAGGGCAGTAGCTACAGGATATTAACAGATGCTCTTCTGGTGTGTTAAAGTAGAATAATTTTAAGACCCAAATAACTTCTTCATATGCTTTCAAAGCTTTAAGACATCATAAACATGTATGTTGCAGTTTGAATACAAATGTCTATATTTGAAGCAAATAAAAACAAAAAAGGCATTGGCTGTAGTCCCTTCCCAGAACATGGTAATCACAGTCCTCAGGAAGTGAGTCTTTTGTTTAAGACTGAAACAGGCTGTGTTGTCTTACCAGAGATCACTTTGTTTCTGTCTAGCATTACCTTAATTTAATATTATAATAAAAAACCAAAGAATAGAACTGAATTTTCTTACCACTAAGTGAATTCTAACTTTATTTTCATTAGCTATTACAAGGAACACAGAGAGAGTGTGTTAAAATGACTACATCATACCAATCCTAGCCACTTAAGAAGTTGACATCTGGAGGATCATAGTTCCCAGCTAGCCTGGGCAGAAATGTCTGTGAGACTCCAACTTCAAGATAACCAGAAAAAAAAGCAGGGCTGAGACAAGGCTCAAGCAATGTGGCAAGCAAGCAAGCAGATAGAGGCCCCGAGCTCAAACCCTGGTGCTGGCAAAGGAAATTAAAAAAAGGAGATTAGGACTCAAGTACACATTTGCATTTCAATTTACGTTAAAAATTATTACCAATAGAAAACAATTAAACTGAACTCTTGCTCTACCTGTTCCAAAGAGGAAAACAACCACAAGAACAACTGAAGTCCAGCAGGGTGAGACTGGAGCGTATGGGCATGGGCTGCTTAGTAAGACCTTGTCTTAAACACAAAAATCAGCAAGTGTTGGGGCCTCACACTTGAATCCTCACTACTCAGAGGCTGAGATCTTAGGTTCTAGTCCAGCTCAAAGTCTGAGCAGGACTAGAAGTCTTTGAGATTCTTTATCACCAATTGATCACCAAAAAGACAAAAGTGGATCTGTAGCTCAAGTGGAGGAGAGCTAGCCCTTAAGCAAACAAGCTAGAGGACAGCAATCAGGCCTCGCGTTCAGGCCCAGGACCGGACCCCCCCCCAAATTTGGACAATTCTTCATCTAAATGTGGTCACTGCGAGACTGGGGGCTCATCCGCTCCCCACGAGGCTGAGATCTGAGGGCTGGGGCTCGAGACCAGCCGCGCAGGAAAGACGCTGATCTCAAAAACCACCAAAAACAGCCAGAAGTGGAGCTGCGCAGCCCAGCTGGAAGAGGTCTAGCACAGAGGGGTTCAAGTCCAGCTCCAAGTCCTCCGCCCCTGCCCTGACCACAGCTCACACCCAATGATCACTCCGCATCCCCAGACTCCACCCACCCACCACCCCCGGTGGGCCGAGCCAGCCGCCCCGCCCTCGGCCCCGCCCCGAGGGCGTGGCCCCGTCACCCCGCCCTCAGAGGGCGTGGCCCCGCTACCCCGCCCTCCGTGGCCCCGTCACCCCGCCCTCCGAGGGCGTGGTCTGCGTGCCGCCGCGCCGGCGGCGCGATGACGTGTACGCGCGCCGCGGCCCGCCGGAGCCCGCCCGCCTTTCAGCTGGAAACGCGTCCCCGCGCTGCCCGGGGCGCTAGGCGGGCGCCAACGGCCGGGTCGGCGGGGCCGGGGACGGCACGGGGGCGCGGCGTCGAGGGCCAGGCGCAGCCCGGGGGTCGCGGGGCCGGGGGCCGGCCATGATCGACTCGGTGAAGCTGCGCCGCGCCAGCGCAGCCGACTTCTTCTCGCACTACGAGTACGTGTGCGCGCTGCAGGACGTGGTGCCGCTGCCCGCCGTGCGCGCCCGCCTGCGGGAGGGCGTGCTCGACCTGCACGCCGACCGCCTGCGCCCGGCCGACTGGGCGCCGCTGCTCGGCGCCCTGTGCGTCAGCCGGGACCTGCCGCTCGTCTCCATCAGGAGCGCCTGCCCGCCGGCAGGTAGGGGGCGCGGCACGCGGGCGCGGGCGGCCCGGTGGGGGGAGCCTGCCTGCCGGGGGTGGAGCCTGGGGCGCCGGGTGGAGCCTGCCGGGGGTGGAGCCTGCCGGGGTGGGGAGCCTGCCGGGGGTGGAGCCTGCCGGGGGTGGAGCCTGGGGCGCGGGGGTGGAGCCTGGGGCGCGGGGGTGGAGCCTGGGCCCCCCAGGAGGTGGGGCTTGCCCGGGGGTGGCGCCTGGCCGGGGGTGGCGCCTGGCCGGGGGTGGAGCTTGGGCCCTGGCAGGTAGAGCCTAGGCCCGGGGGATGAGGTAGAGCCTGAGCCCCTGGGTGGAGGAACAGGTGCTGGGTGAGGGTGCCCGGTGCGGGATGCTGGGTGCTGAGGCACCGGTGCCCAGTGCTAGGGGATGGTTGTGGGGGCTGAGTACTGGATGCTGGGTGCTGGGGGTCGGAGCCCGGTGCTAGGGGATGGGTGCGTGGGCTGAGTACTGGATGCTGGGTGCTGGGGGTCGGGGCCCGGTGCTAGGGGATGGGTGCGTGGGCTGAGTACTGGATGCTGGGTGCTGGGGGTCGGGGCCCGGTGCTAGGGGATGGGTGCGGGGGCTGAGTATTGGATGCTGGGTGCTGGGGGAGGGTGTCCATTGCTAGGGGATGGGTGTGGGGGCTGAGTATTGGATGCTGGGTGCTGGGGGTCGGAGCCCGGTGCTAGGGGATGGGTGTGGAGTGCGGGGTGCTGGTCCTGGAGGACATGTGCGGGGTGCTGGTGCTGGGGGACGGGGTCCTGGTGCAGGGGACCAGCAGGTGCTTTAGACTGGTGTGCGGCCTGTTGACCAAGGCCTGCTGTCGTCGGGGAAGTTAACATGACCCACGCTGCTGCAGGGTGTGTGGACCCGAGGAGTGAAGATGTAGGTGCTGAGCACAGCACTTGGAAACGTGGTTAAACTTCGGAGGAAGACCACCTGGTCGCCAAAATTACTTGTTCTTTTTTTGAAGTGATTGGGAGATGAACACATCCCAGTCCTCCCCTCCTCGTGGTTAAGCAGGCTCTCTGCCACTCAAGACACTTTGCCCACCCGAAGAGGAGGTTTCTTGTGTGGTTGTTTGTGTTGGTACTGGGGCTTGAACTCGGCCTGGGTGCTGTCCTTGAGCATTTGTATGTTCAAAGCTAGTGTTCTGCCACTTAAGAACCACATTTCCACTTCTGACTTTTTGGTGGTAAATGGGAGATAAATGTCACATAGACTTCCCTGCTCAGCCAGGCTGGGGCCTCAAACCTCTGTCCTCAGCCCTCCGCCTCCCGGGCAGCTAGAATTATTGGCTTACGCCGGCCATGCCTGGCTTGAAAGAGGTTTCCAAAGGACGTTGCAAGTATAAACGATTTACAACGTCAGGTACTGTAACTGGGGATTGCAGCCATTGGATTATTCGGTAAACGGGTAAATGCTGTTTTTTTCTGCTACTTAACACATTTTGTACATTTGCTGAGTCCAGCTGTGAGAGGCTCGCATCTTTTTATTCGTAATCACCATGCGAGAAAAGTAAAGTGAATCTGAATACAGTCTAGGCTGTTCCAGAGGGGCGAAGCGTTTTGGAGGCTTGTTCAGATCCCTGCAGTCGCTGGCAGATGGTTGAGTGGTAGAGATTTTGAGGACCCACACTTTGAAACAGACTCACAGCACAGGCAGGATAACCAGTTCTGCTGGCTTAGGATGACCTCCTGGATGCTTCTTCATATTTATTTATTTATTTATTTTTGTCGGTCATGGGGCCTGAACTCTGGGCCTGGGCGCTGTCTCTCAGTTCTTCAGCTCAAGGCTAGCACTCCACCACTTCAGCCACAGCGCCACTTCTAGTTCTCTGGTGGTTTATTGGAGACAAGAGTCTTGCCTGGGCTGGCTTTGAACCGATTTATATATTTTTAAAAAAGTAGCACATAGATGTTTGAGGCAGCCTAGGGTTTCAGTTCCAGAGCTTCCCTTCTGATCTGTGGCAAGTCACATTTTGAACCATAATTTTCATATTTAGAAGAAGGCATTAAAACAGTTGTTGTCAGTGCGTTATATATGTGCAAAGTATTCTGGGACTGCTTTTGCTGCAGGGCACTACAGGAAAACATAAGCCTTAAATAAGTGCTGTGAAAGAACAAACATGAGTCCAGGGGGCTGTGGAGACCAGAGAACCAAAGGTCAGATCCAGGGAAGGCTTCCTGGAGAAAGGGCCATCTTTTCAAAGCATGTGCAGAAGCCAAGCTCCAGATAGGAGGGGGGTGGCTTGCTCAGAAGTCCTACCGCAGGTTGGGGACAGGACTGAGAGCTGAAACCGGAAACCTGCTGGAGCTGTGGAGATGCAATGCTTGTTCTGTCGAGGAGTTCGGTCATGGAGAACCACTGGAAGATCTGAGGTAGCAGCTCCTTACGGCTTCCACGTGGCAAGGGAATTAAAGTAGGAGGAAGGAAGAGCCGTCATCCAACAATCCACATTAGCACGATGATCTTGCCTAATACCTTACACTGCGTATAAGAAGAAATACATTTGTTGCACCCATCTCCCTAGCTGAATCTTCTTCATCTCTTGCACTGAGGCCGTCTCGCTGTTGCCGTTTGCCCGCCTTGCTCAGCCGGAGTTAGCTTTGCTTGTACTCTTGCAGCAGCTGCTGCCGATTTTCATTTCCATCAGTCCCTCCGCCCGCTTCAGTTCAGGCGGTCTTTCTAAATGAGAAGCGAGACTTCACCGCCCACAGCGACTCCCCCGCACAGCACTCGCACATGTTGGTTGCGCAGCTCATTTTCTTTCTTCACAGAGGGACCGGCACCCAACCAGGGTGCGTGTGCCCCTCTGGGTGAAGCGGATGCCTCCCTCTAGTCATTTCCTTTACCTAATTGGACCTTCAGCCGGCCCAATTCCATAAATTGGTCATCGGACTCCCTGTGCAGCAGTAACCCTAGTTCTTACTGCTAATACTATGGAAGCCAATGCTCTCTCTGGCTTTCCAACTACTTGGTGTAGTCATCTCACCTGCAGTTTTCACTGTGCCCAGCGGGTGTCAGGCTTAGGTGACTTTGCCCGCTCCTCTCCTGTTGCTAGTGACTCCCCCAGCCCAGTCCTGTTTGTGTCTTTATGTATGTGGTTTGGGTTTTTGTGTCTCCTGGCTTTAAATTCTCATGTGTCTCTTTTTAAAGAATCTTAAGGACTTGGTTCATTTCTTCGTCTTAAAAAAGCACAGAGCAGAGGCTTTTTAACGATAAACTGTGTGATTGTAGTCACTAATTTTACAATAGCTTTGCTTTAGATTCTGACATAAACAGAGTTGGCAGAAGTCGTATTCCTGCAATAAGATCCAAAGATGTGACCTTCCAGCTATGTAAAGCACTTAAAGGCTGCTTGAGTATATCAAGTGTCCTGAGGAACCTAGAGCTAAATGGACTGATTTTGAGAGAGAGAGATTTAATTACTTTAACACAGGTAAGCCTCCAGTTTTCCCTTCACAGGTTTGGTGGTTGATTTGGGGCAGGGAAGAGGGGATACTATTCAATACCTTTGTAACGTTTTCCTTCTATTACAGGGATTGAACAAATCGGCTTCTTTGGTGCACCTGTCTCTTGCAAATTGTCCGATTGGAGATGGCGGTGTAGAACGTGAGTTAAATTTTGCTCAATGGTTTTCCTCTCACTCTGCCCTCACGTTAGCCCTTGTGTCATGCTAATCAGTCTCTGTGTGGACCTTTTTCTGACTTCTGCCTCCATCCGGGTTGTCTCTTGTGCATGCTTTAAACCTGGGTCTATTTTCACTTCTTGTCATGAAAGCTTGCTAGGTCGAATGAATACCCTCTGAAGGTGTTTTTCTAAAAATTGTGTTAAACCATACACTAACCACACAAACATATATTATCCACATAAACATAAACTGTTTTGGTATTCAGTCTTTTGTGTTTGTCTTTTAGGGTTTTCCTTTGAAAAATATTTTTTGGGAAGGGCAATAACATGATGTAAAGATTTTGGAGGGAAAACCTATAATTACTTTTACATAATAGAACATCTGGGGGGCTGGGAAGGTGGCTCAGTGGTAGAGCGCTTGCCTAGCATGCCTGAGGCCCTGAGTTCAATTCCTCAGCACTACATAAGCAAAAAGAAAAAAGCCGGAAGTGGCACTGTGGCTCAAGTGGTAGAGTACTAGCCTTGAGCTGAAATGCTGAGGGACAGCGCCCAGGCCCAGAGTTCAGGCCCACGACCAAACCCCCCCCCCCAAAAAAAAAGTATAACATCTGTTATGCAACGTTAGTGTACTGTGATGTGTGCAGTTAGGTGAATGTAAAAGACCAGCCAGCCAGCAGTCTCTTTGGTGCGTGTGGGTGTGTGTGCGTGCATGCCTGACTGGGTTACAGAAGTAGTCAGAGAGGATGGCTCTGGATTGGAGTCGTGAAGGATTTGTGCATGTTCATTATGTTTAGTGAACACAACTTGAGAGAACAGAGTTTCTGGTCCTCCATATTCTATTGCTGTTCTAGTATATTTGGCACTCATATAGAAATTAATATAGTTAATATCATTGATTTATAGTTCACAAATTGTTGATGGGTAATCAGGACCAAGGTATGTCATTGGAAACAAAAACAAAGAGCTTTTTAGGGTTTTCTCCCTCCCACCTCTTAAAGACACCTGGTACTGTACTGTGAGGCTATTTGCAACGTTCAGAATACTCAGGTTTAACAATTATAATAGGTACTGTGTTATCATGGTCACCAGAATGTATGCGAAGACCACTTGGGGTGGGCTCATTTATTGTGGCTTGTGATTCAAGGTTCGGTCCATGGCCACTTGGCTAGCGGGAATGTATGATGGAGGAGCTTCTTTACCTTAATCCTGACAAAAAGCAAAGACATGAAGGGGCCTGGCCGATACATCCAGGACACTGTCTTGATGGCCTCCTTCATCCAGTGAGGTCCCACCTTCTACAGTTTCCAGAATCTCCCAAAATAGTCCCACCAATTGGGAGGCATTCAAAACAAGAGCCAGCAGGGCACATTTCATATTTCAAACTGTAACAGCAACTAATTTAATTGAGAATTCAATCATTGCTATAAATTGGGAAAACATTTTAGAGCACACCAGTCCACTAGTTGTTTGGGAAGATTGTAGAGAATAACTGCAAGAATACATCTGAAACCCGGCACAGATGGAAGGAAGTGCCCAGGCTCAGCGCTGTCTTCATCTGATGGTTTTCATCTGATTGATTTCTTTTTCTTCTTTTAGTTATTTGTCAAGGTATAAAGAACTCTATCAGTCTCAAGACCGTCAACTTCACGGGGTGTAATCTGACTTGGCAGGGAGCAGATCACATAGCCAAGATCTTAAAGGTGACTTATGTTCAAAAATTTTTGGAAATGTACTAGATGATTAAAGCATATTAATAATTTAATAGGAAATGAGCATTACTTTTGTTTTAATTCATACAGTGATTAAAGTTGTTTTTGTGTGGGAAAGACATTTATTACCAAGCTATCAGTTATGGGGAGTGGCTGGGGGAGGGGCTGAGCGGTGGTGTTTTGGGTGTCGGCCCTTTCTCTCTGTCTTTTTGGGCCTGGATCCTGAGCTCCTTATCCAGGTGCTTGTTCGCAGGACGACCTTTGCCTGCAGGGAGAAGGAGCTGCCCACACACTTATCCTTCCCTCTAAACAGGCATTCAGAGTTCGGCAGATTCTTGCCACAGGGCCCGAGCAAAGACTCTGCCCACCACCTGCACGCCCGGCACATGATCTGGGCCAGGCACGTGGCGGGACAGCCTCTCAGCCGCAGGAGCGCAGGCTCTGCTTCTCAGCCCTGCCGCCCTGCCAAAGGATGGGTGACGGGGTCAGAGGTTAAAGTTCTAGTTTTATTATAAGAATAAGACCAGTGTTTAGCTTGAGTAAGTATTTGCTTAATCTTACAAATAAGGTATTTGAAGTATAAGAATGCCTTATGGACATGGTTTTTGTTTCACTATTTAAAAACGTAGCATTGAAAGAAACTATGCTGTAATCTTACTTTGATTCAAGTACTAACTGCTATAATTTATAAATACACTTCAATAAATGCAGTTAATTTTAATGACAACAACAACTTTATAATGGTTGTAATTCCTGTAGTCCAAAAATTACTTGACAGTCTGACACAAACCTTTCTTGGAGTTTGATGTTGTAGATCAGGAACAGGGGAACTGTGGCCTGTCTACCAAATCTACCCTGGCTCCTATTTTCATATAGTTTTGTTAGAAAGGAAAGCAAGCCACGGCCAGCTGTTCTCAGAGTAAATATGGCTGGCTGCACCCTACTGCAAGGAGAGAGTTAAGCACTTGCAGAAGCTGAAACCGTTTACTGAGGCCTTGTACAGAGTAAGTCCTCTGACTCTTGAGATAAACAGTGGTCAGGAGCATGAATTTGGAAGCCAGACAGTCCAGATTGAAATCCTCTGTAAAATATGTGTAATAAGAAAAACCTACTTCATCCATCACTGCCTTGTCTAAAATAATGTGTGGTGCAGAATCAGCACTGTGTGTTTACTGTTAGCTCCTCTCAGTGCTCTAAACAGTTATTTCTACTAGAAAGTTGACAGTAACAATTTTCCTTTGAAAGTGTCGTGGCACAGCAGCTTTGAACCATTTGTGGTTCAAGCATGCAATGGTATAATTTCTTTCTTTTAAAATCAGTGTTCCCTGTTACAAAACATTTACTTTATGAATCTAGAGAACTGATGATAGTCTTTAGGACAAACTAGACCTTCCATTTCCTAAAGCACATCACACTGGCCTTACTTATTCCAGGCTTCGAAAGCTGGGGTGTGTGTCTTAAGAAGTATGTGCTAGCCATTGGTTAAAACCAAAACCTGCATTTATTTTGTATGTCATTTAAAGAGTTCTGTTGCTTCTATGTCATTTCTAATGTATGTAAAATATGTGTTACAGAGCTTTATGTACATAATTTATTGATAAATAAGAATATTACATTTATTTGTGGGATGCTTGATCAGATGTTGGCAATCACGAGATGATAAAAAGATAGAATTGAGAACCACTTTTTAATATAGATGATGAGGAAAATAAAATTCTTGAAGGTGATCTGAGTTACCAGCTTGCATAACTAATCAACAGATCACATAGTGACTAGAACCTCATAATAAATTAGTAGCCAACTGGGATATGTGTCACTTATCCCTTAAACCAAAATCTGCTATGTGATGTACTGAAAGCAGCTGAGTTTCAGAATTGTACTTGGAGAGAAAAAGAGGGAGAATAAAGGGAGGGAGGAAAATGTTTGTAAAACACTGACATAGTCAGCCATACTTAGTTTTCTGCTGGTTGGTTATTCAAGCCTCTTAATTTCATGCTATTCCATCTCTGAAGTATCAGACCATGAGAAGGCATGAGGAGATCTGGGCGGAGAGCCTCCGCTACAGGACACCTGACCTGGACCGCATGGCTGGCTTAAGGCGAATCACATTGAATTGCAATATGCTGATTGGTGATATGGGTGCACGTGCTTTTGCAGACTCTATTAACGAGGATTTGTGGCTCAGAGGTAAGCTATGTCAACTTCTACATTTGAAAATAAAAAAAATTGGATATTCAATATGCTTAACACTTGGCACATAAGGTTTTAAGGTTTTTTTTGTTTTTTGGTTTTTGGTTTTTTTTGGTCATGGGACTTGAACTCTGGGCCTGGGTGCTGTCCCTCAGTTCTTCAGCTCAAGGCAAGCGCTCTACCACTTGAGCCACAGCACCACTTCAGGTCTTCTGGTGGTTTATTGGAGATAGGAGTCTCATGGGCTTTCCTGCCTGGGCTGGCTTTGAACCGTGATCCTCAGATCTCAGCCTCCTGAGTAGCTAGAATTACAGGTGTAAGCCACCAGTGCCTGGCTAATGTTTAAGATTTTTAAAAGCCTTTTTTCTCTATTAACATATGTAGTAACTTGTATTTTTAAACCTTTACGAGATAAATGTGTTTCACATAGAAAATTCTGAGTAAATGAGAATACCTATAATCAAAATACATGTTTTTTGTTTTGGTATATTTTCAGCCTTATTTTTTATTTATTTATTTATTGTAAAGATGATGTATAGAGGGATTACAGTTTGATTAACCTTTTTTTTTTTTTGCCTGGGGCTTGAACTCAGGGCCTGGGCACTGTCCTTAAGCTTCTTTTGCTCAAGACTAGCACTCTACCACTTGAGCCACAGCACCACTTCTGGCTTTTTTGTGTATGTGGTACTGAGGAATTGACCCCAGGGCTTCATGCATGCTGGGCAAGCACTCTATCACTGAGCCGACTTCCCAGCCCCAGATTAACCTTACTTTTAATAGATATTTTGTACATTTAGAGATTACAAAAAAAAGAATTATGGTGTACTTAATATTTTCTACTTAATGATGAATCATGTAGTTTTATTTTATGTGGTAAATTTAGACATCCCCATAGCTAGCTTAGACTGGCCTCTCTGTGAACATTAGACTTACTTGTGTAGGACAAGTTACTAGAGATGGAAAGACTTTAGTTACTATTTTTTCCCCTTTGGTGGTACTGGGCCCAGTGTTCACTCAGTGTTCTCTTACCGAACAGCCATTCTGCCATGAGTCACAGCTCTCCCCTGCTGCCTTCCACGTCCTTTGACCTTTAGGTTTGTTTGTAGATAGCTAACTGATGTTGGCTAGGATGGCCTCAACCTTTCTGCCTCCACCTCCTAGTGAGCTGGAATTCTTCGTTGCTCCAACACACCACATTCTCTTAGAAAAATAAGGTATTTCTAGTTCTTCATGGTTATAAACATCACTGTGATACACATCCTCATCCATCTTTGGTAATTTCGTTCAGATAAATTCTTAGCAGGAGGGCGGCTGGATTAAAAGATCATGTACACGTTAGGATTAGGATTGTAGCTCAGCGTAGAAAGCTTGCCCACCAACACTGCCACACAAGTGCACACCAAAAGAATCCACATTTTAAAGACTTTTGCTACCTTATCTTGGTGTAGTGTAGTAGTTGAACAGTCACATCTCTTTGCTTTAATTTGTCTTCATCCCACTTACTAGTGAGGTTACTAAGATTTACTAATTTTATTTGGGTAGTTGAATGATTACTCTTGTTTCTTTGATTTAGGCTGGGTGGCTAAAACAACAGATATTTTTTCACAGTTTTAGAGGCTGAGAAGTCCCGGATGAGGGCATTAACATTCGGTGTATGGTGCCGGCACTGCTCCGGGGAGGTAGAAGCCTGTCTTCTTGTTTTATATCAGACGGCAGAGAGTGCATGTGTGAGCCCTGCTCTCCTGAACTCTTCCCATCACCACAGCGCCATTCTCTAGATTTTATTTAAATTTCTTTACCTAGCTAAAGTTTCAACATCAGTTTTTTGTGGACACAGACATGTGGTCCTGTGGGGCTGTGAGTGACTTTGGGCATGTGGTATGCATGATGCTTTTACAAGATTGATGTGTGCTTCAGATGTAAAAGAGACTTGGTGAAAGAGACTTCTTGATTTCATTTTTTTTTCTGATAGGTTCTATTATATAATCTTTGTTCATACTTTTTTGTCTTAATTGTATCTTCATAGACTTAGTCATTTTTATTCTGAAATAGCTCTAGGCTAGTGCTCTACCACTTGAGCTGTACCTCACTTGTGGTTTTTTGGTAGTTAAATGGAGATATCTTAAAGACTTTCCTGCTGGCTCCAAACTTTGATCCTCAGATCTCAGCCTCCTGAGTAGCTAAGATTACAGGTGTGAATGACCAGCACCTGCTTTAAGTCTACTTTTTTGAAGGTTCATTTGGAACTCCTCATCATGATCAAAAGAATGCAGTTTGCCTGTGGGTGCTCTGCTCTGCCTTTGCTATGATGCTTACCTGCCACTAGCTTCCTTGCAGATTAGGAACTGAGAAAATTCATTCTGTTGATGCTTCTCTCACAGACTGCAGTTTCTTCTCAACCCTTTGATTTTAAAATCATATTAGGTGACTTGTAGGAAAAGGAGGCTGATCATGATACATTTAAAAAGAGGGTTTTTTAGAGGAAGGAGATGGAGGGTTTGGCCGTTTTTAAATGTATGCTTTTGTATATGCCTTTCTGCTTTACTTTCTTCAATGCCCAAGATTAGAAAGCCTGACAGGATGAGTGGTGTGTATCCTAAGCATACGTGAGAGTTATCTGTATGTTGTGCTGTACAGAGCAGGCAAGTGACCTATTGTCTTTCATCAAAGCACTCGACCTACAGCAGTGCGGCCTCACCAACGAAGGAGCCAAGGCCTTGCTAGAAGCCCTGGAAACCAACAGAACTCTCGCTGTCCTGGATATAAGAAAAAACCCACTTATTGGTATGTCAGCAGTTGTTTTTTTTTTTTTAGCTGATTAGCAAATAATAGAACACAAAGAGCATATTCATGCACTGACAGTTTTTGCACTTAATGTGTTTACTTTCCTAATCTTGGACTTCCCTAATATTATACTTCATTGTGAGCAGATAGTTACCTATTAAAATAAGTTACACATATAAATTGCTTACAACAGCTGCTGTGAATAGAGTTGATCCCAGATAACAATCTGTGTCTATCAGGAACATTCTTTCCTCTTTTGTGAAACCTCTGGATATTTTTTAAGACCATCTGATTCGTTGGCTAATTTAACTAGTAATTTTGATTTTTGAGTACTTCGGCGGTGTGCCCAGACACTGGTTCAGGCACTAAGCATGTAGCACTGAACCAGCCACACAGTCTTCCTCTCAGGGACATGCGGTGGAAGTCTTGGGATACATTACAGAACAAGCAAGCAGTGAGTACTCAGCACAGGTAGCAGGGTGGGTGGACTGTTGAAGAAATGCAGAGAGGCCAGCATGGTTGGATGGGGGAGAGCCTGGCAGACTGGGACCTCAGACTTGCATCTGATCTCCAGGGACTTGCTGTTGAAGGTCAAGTATGGACACGGGCTATTCTAAGTGGACTGAAAGTCACTGGGCAATTTTTTTTTAATTTTAATTTTATGGTCAAGTTGATATACAGAGGGGTTACAGTTACATAAGTAAGGTAGTAAGTACATTTCTTGCCTAACTTGTTACCCCCTCCCTCATTTTTCTCCCTCTTTCCCACCCCCCCCCCCGGGTTGTACAGATCATTCTGAACATAGTGTCTTGTGAGTATCACGGTTGCATCGGTTCCCTTTGTCCTTTGTCTCACCATTTCGTTGTCCCCCTTCCCTTCCCTAGTTCAGATCCACATATATACAATACCCAGGGCACCAACATCAAATAGAGTGACAACAGGGGATAAACCATAGGGGGAAAACACACAAAAGAAGAAAGAAATCACATAGTATATTGAGAACAACAACAACAAAGAAAAACCTCTGGTGTTCATGTCTTGAAGTTCATTTCCCTTAACGTCATCTTATACGGTCCATATGTCCATAGCTATTGAGCTATTCTGCTCATCTGCTAGGATTATCGTAGATACATGTTTTTTTGGGTATGGCTTACTTAATGTAATTTTTTTCAAGTCCTTCCATTTCCTTACAAACGGGGAAGTGTCATTCTTTCTGATGGAAGCATAGAATTCCATTCAAATTTTAAGCTGGAAAAAGGCATGGTTATAGCAGCATTTCAGTTGGGTGACCCTGGTGTGGAGAATATATTGTGGGCAGGTTAAGAAGCGAAACAGACCACTTAAGAAGCTATCACAATGGTCTATAAGATAGAGGATTATGGCTTAGCTTAGGGTGAAAAGTGGTTGAAACAAGGTATAAGTAAGAAGACATGCAAAGAGCTTAGATGTTGAGTATAAAGGAAATAAGTCATTAAAAAGATGTCCTAGTCAGAGCTGGGAGCACTGTAGCTCACACCTGTAATCCTGCCTACTCAGGAGATCTGAGGCTAGCTCTTCAAAGCCAGCCTGGGCAGGAAAGCCAATGAGACTCTTTATCTCCAATTAACCATCAAAAAGTCAGAAGTGGAGCTGTGCCTCAAGTGTTAGAGTGCCAGTCTTGAGCAAAGAATCTCAGGGACAGCACTTGGGCCCTGAGTTCCAGCTTGGGGAGGGGGAAAGGGTCCTAGTCAGACTTCAGCAGAGTTCAACTGATAGAGCGCACCAGCTTTGAGCAAGAGCACCAAGCAAGAGTATTAGAACCTGAGCTCAAGCCCGAATAATCGGGAACAGAGCAGCTTTGAGGGATATTACTACTTTGGTTTGACTATAATAGTTGCCTCTGTAAATGTCTGGGCTTTTCTGGCTCTTGGTTTTTTATTCAAAGGTGTACAATGCTACTTTAGATCCAGAGTGCTTAGATTTGATCTTTGATGCTGCTACAAAAGTAGCTGCTATGAGCAATATGTAAACTAGTTAACTTTTACCTATTATTTGTGAGGAAGAAGTTAAGACTATTCAAAAGGAGAAATGAATATATAATTATATAATGGGGCTTTTATATTTAGTTTTCTGGGAAAGCACTAATTAGTTGGCTTTTGTTTGTAAGTGGGAATAGCTATCATTGGAAAACAGTTACTACAATTTGCGTTTTCATTTTACTTTAGATCATCCTATGATGAAAGCAGTTATCAAAAAAGTTCTCCAGAATGGAACGAGCTCTAAGTCAGAGGTATAATCTTCTAGAAAGACTTATTCTTTAATTGTTACTTTGCTTGTTTTTAATAAATGGTCAAGGCAGTTTTCTGCCATCTTAAGTTTTTAGTCAAAAATCAGTGATATTTTCCGGTTTTGAAAACATTATGTGATTCTTTAATTTGGGATCTGAGAACTTTTACTAACACATAATATCTTAATATTTTCCAGTTAAGGTCAGCCCTTCCTAAATTTACTGTTGTGGGAATTACCTGTATTTCTTTTCCAGTACCAGTGGATAACTTCTCCATCAGTGAAAGGACCACCCAAAACTACTAAACAGAAAAAGAAAACTATCATTCTAGGGAATAGTCGTAAAGGAAAAGCTACTATTAGAATCGGTAATCCTTTCTGTCTTGGCTTTTTTTTTTTTAATCTCATGTGTTCCTATATGGTAAGATTAAAGTGTATTATTGTCAGGATCGGCTGATGATCGATTGCATGTGAATTATGGACTGTAATTGTTCAGATACCAGCAAGGAGAATTTATGAATGTAGGAAGTAGTGGACGATGCATTAAGAAAGGAATGCAGACATTTTCACTTTTTAAGTTCACCATATTTATTTCTTCTTTCATAAAATACTCATCATTTTAATGTCTGACATTGTGCTGCCTTTGGATGGCAGTGTTAGCGCTGCTTGGGAGTGTTTTAGTTGTCATTTGTGTGCTGGGGATTGAACCCAGGATGTCATGCTATCCCACCGATCCACAGCCCCGTCCTTCATTTTTGCTGTTGTTTGAAAGTACTGGGGTTTGGGGTTCAGGGCCTTGTGCTTCTAGGCAAGTGCTTCACCACTGAAGTCACAGGCCCAGAGCCTTTTTGTTTGTTTGTTTGTTTTTACTGATGCATTTTTTTTTGGTAGAATCTCAATGTTTTGGGTAGGCTGGCTCCAACCATGATTCTCTTGACCTCTGACTCTCTAAGTAGCTTGGATTATAGGCATGAACCGCTGTGACTAGCCTCGATTATTGCTTTTTAATGAAGACTTACGCTTCCTAATGTGACAGGAATCAGCGTTTGCCCCACTCCTGTTTCCCCTTCCTCCCCTCTCCTCTTGTCAATTCTTACCTAAATTATTGAATCTTCAATGAGGAGAAAACCTTGAAGTATTTATAATCCTCATTAAACAATATTGCCACCTAGCCTAAAAAGTGTACTGCCTTTAGCTGAAATATTTTAGAAAAGCTTTTGTGTGTGAGTTTATTTTTTTGTCTTATTTTGAAAGTTGGTCATGATACATTGACCAAAAAAGCCTCGAACTTTGAAATCTCTCACCTCAGCCTCCTGAGAAGCTGAGGTTATAGGCATGTATCACCATTCCTTACAAGAAAAACATTTTCTAAGTGTTTGTTGTAATGTTCATTTTATTCTCCACATAGTTAATCTAGAATTTAAAATTGTCTATAATTTGTTGACCAACGGTAATGAGACAACTTTTTATTAAGCAGGGCGCCAGTGGCTCACACCTGTAATCCTAGCTACTCAGGAGGCTGAGATCTGAGGGTCATGGTTCAAAGCCAGCCTGGGCAGAAAAGTCTGTGAGACTCTGATCTCCAATAAACCACTAGAAAACTGGAAGTGACCTTGTGGCTCAAGAGGTAGAGCGCTGACCTTGAGCTGAAGAGCACAGGGACAGAGCCCAGGCCCAGAGTTCAAGCCCCACAACCAACCAAAAAAAAAAAAAATCCTTTTTTTTAATAAATCTATTTAGTATTATAAATCAGTGTCATAAATCTTACATTCTGAATATCTAAGTTTGGTGCAGTTTAATTCTAATATTTTTATATTGTTTCTAAGGAGGGTGCTACTTTTATTTTCTAGAACACAATATCTCTTGCATACATAACTTTTGTGATAAGGAAGAATGACAAAATAAACTAATACAAGTATAATATGAAACTGATATTTTCTTATAGTAATTTTGAATTTTAAAGCAATAAAACCACAAGGACTAATTCAAAAGGAATAAGAAATAATTTTTATTTTTATTTTTGCCAGTCCCGGGGCTTTAACTCAGGGCCTGGGCTCTGTACCTGAGCTTCTTTTTGCCCAAGGCCAGTCGTCTACCACCAAGCCACATCCCCAAACCATAGAAGAAATAAAATAATTTTTAATGTTCATTAACTGCCAATTTCCCAGAAAAAGGTTTGTAATGACTTTAATCATATAGCAGATACCTCAATATCACTAACCAAATTATTAACAGATAATGTTTTTATTTGGTCATTACCTAAAATTTCAAAACATTGACTAGAACTATTGAACAACCTACCTACTTAATATGGAATACAGTTAATATGGTATTATTTGTTTATGTATAGTTTAAGATAACTTTAGAAAAATATGTTGTTTACAGATTCTTGTTTAGATTTTATAAAAGTATTTAGTGTTTAAACTGATAAAACGTTGGAAAAACCATTAAATAATTTTTTAAATGTTGTAGTGAACATTTTCATAATTGTTTTGTTTTCACTATTAAACCACTTATTTGCAACGAATAGTCTTGATTAGGTGGTAGTTGAATTTTTACTAAATCAAGAGCAAGTATAGGATTTGCCTATTAATTTTTGTTTTAAACCTATGATATTTTGTAGTTAAATAGAATGTACAAGTTGAGATTTGTGATATCACTATATTGCAAAAGATTATATCATGTGCAAAACATCCTTGAAAGTATTTCCAGTTGGTGTTCTGAAAGAGAAATAGAAAAAAAATGTATGTCAAACATTAGAAGTTCTGTGATTTTTTTTTTGTTAAAGCATTCAGAGGATTTGAATAAAAACATAAAACTGTTTCTTAACATGGTTAAAGAAAGTTAGGTCTGAGATTGCCTTTTGCAGGCTCACTGAGCTACTGGAGAGTAATCTATTTCTTGGGCTTTCTTTTATATTTGCCTCAGTTATTTGGAGACATAGAGGTAAGCCAGATCAGTGTCTTGGCTGTATACTTAGATTTCAAGTGAGAACAGGGGTAATATTTATTTGACTTGTGTTACATTCGCATTTTAAGTATGTATGCATGCAGAAGAACTTTCATTAAAATTTTTTCATCTCCTACATAAGTATAAAATTCCCCTGGTTCTAATTTAAACATTTATATTATTTTCTGAAAGAGAAAGAAATGGTATATACACAGACCATACAAAAGCTACAGTTTTTGTATGAAGGTAATTAAAGCTAAAAACAAAAATTGTGTAAGATGAGCAGAGCACCTATACACTTTAAGACACACAAACATTTGTAGAAAAATGGCATCGGACCATATGACTTGATAAATTATGGTGTATGTAGTATTTGTCCTTTATTACTACATATACATGTTTTAGCTGTCATCCTAATAGGTTTTGTAAGTAAAATAGAATAAGGACAAATAGAACCATTTTTTTGTTGTTGGTGTTTTTTTCTTTCTTTCTTTTTAACATTCTGGTTTAGGGACTTGAACTCAGGGCCTGAGTACTGTTCCTGAGTCTTTTTGCTCAGGGCTTACACGCTATTGGAGCTACAGCTCCACTTCTCTTTTTGGTGGTCAGTTGAAGAATCTCACAGACTTCCTTGCCTAGGCTAGCTAGCTTCAAACCACAAACCTCAAATCTCAGCCTCCACAGTAGCTAGGATTACAGGCATGAGCTAATGGTTCTGTTTAGTTGGGAGCTGTACTCTATTTAAATATATATTATTCTTAGTAATTAATATTAGACATTATTTAAATATGATTTTACAATATAATGTAGTTTGTTCAAATAAAGTATAATCCAGCGGTCTAGCTTTCGCTACCAAATATTGTACTTAATGCTCCTGATCCTTTGGTGTGAAGTGTAGATTGAGTCTCATTTCACTCTTTGTCTGGTGAGAATATTTTGTTTGGTTTCTTGGGCTTCTTTTGGTGGGAGGGCAGGCCCGCCTGCTTGCAGGGATGGAGCTCTGTCACGTGAGCCACCATGTCTCCAGTCCTCTGCTAGGTTTCGTTTCTTTGGTGTTAATTTGTTGTTCTTGGTCAAGCGACTTGAACTCAGGGCCTGGGCACTGTCTTTGGTGTTTATCTTATTTGAACCTTTAGTGTATCTTGATTCTTTTTTATGAAGTCAAATGAAAAATAAAGGTCACAGACTTAGCGGGTGACATGGACACACTACCGCCCAGCAGCCTTGAGTTGAAATTCTGGTCTAATTCAGAAGATACTGTTTAGCAGGAATCCTGGACATAGCTATGCTAATCTATCCTTGAGATTCAGAAAAGCCAAAGATATTCTGAGATTCAAAAACTGAGTATCTGCATGGTGTATAATATTTCATCCTTAAGAATATCATTTTTATTTCTGTTTGCATGCGTATCTCATGTACTTAGCTTATACTTTAGTTAGAATAAATTGTTACTGAAGAAAACTCATTTTTAAATCATTGCTTGCTTGTTTAACAAGTTTCATAAATTGATGCTTTTTTATGGACCTGGAATCACTGTCAGTTGCTCACTTCTTTTATTTGGAGACTGTGTGTGTGTAGTAGTTGATCTATAGGCCTTGATACATCTTGATTTTCTTTTCTCACTTTGTCAAACATAGGATTGGCCACAAAGAAAACTGTCAGTGATGGAAGGAAACTTGCTCTTAGTAAACACGGTAATCCTGAAGCTCAGCCGCCTGGTGTGTCTGGGTTCCTGCCCTGGAGAACGGCGCAGCGTGCCAAGAGGAGCAGGTGAGATATTTCTGTTCCCTCTTTTACTCATTCCTAGTTTTCTTTTGGAGCCCTGATACCTGGGGTTTTTGTAGTGTTTCCTATATAAGGCAAAAGAATACAGCTTCTACCTACTGAGTCCTCTAAGAAAGAAAAACAAAAATACTTCTAGATACGACTTGCAAGTTGCTTCCTTTTTTCTGGCTCTGGTGGGATTTGAACTCCAGGCCCTGTGGTCGCCAGGAAGGTCCTCTGCCACTTGAGCCATGCCCCTCTCCCTTTGAACTGTCATTAGCTTTTTGATTAGGATTTTACATTTATGCCCTGGCCAGCCTGGACTGCGGTCCTCCTATTTACACTTTCCACATAACTGGAGTAACAGGCATGTTTAACATGGAGTGTCATGGAGCGTTCTGCCCAAGATGGCCTCAGATTGCTGTCCTCTCAACTTAACCTCTGCCTCCCAAGTATGATGACAAGCATGAGACACTCTGCCCAGTTTCAAAGAAGATTTTACAGTGTGCTGTACTATAAGTTGTTAAGTAATAAGATTACTTTTGATCATTTTCTAATAGCTAACTTGTGTATACCAAGAAATTAAGGGTGAAAATTGCTAAACAATTGACTTTAAATAGGACTAACTAAAAGTAGGTACTACATAAGATGGCTGTTTAGTTGCTCCCATTAAATTGACGTGTATTGTCTTCATTAGCCAATTGACTACTGTATTTTTTCACAAATGGTGATGTAAATTACTATAAAAACTATACTGAGGAACAAGTTTTGCATTTTAGTTTTTTTGTATAACTTTATAGTTTTATAGCTTTTTAGAGAACACTTACTAGTCAGTAGTCTATCCTGGTCACAAGGAGTTGTAAATTAGAGTGATTAATATCCTTAACTGAAGAAGCTAGCTTGGAAATGTCAGTCATTTTGAACATAGGATCTGAATGTGTCTGCAGTACTGCCAACCCCTTATTACATCCTCAGAGCCTTCCATGTTCCTGATTTGAAGTCATTTAGTTCTGTATGGATAATGAACATAGTACTAATAAGGGTGATTTATTGATAATTAATGTATTTACACCAAAATGTAATTTTATTTGTTGATATCCTTGTAGGGGGTTTCCATTAATTAAAACTCGTGATATATCTAATGAGCTCCAGGTATGTATTTTTTTGTCATATTTATAACATACAGGGGATTGCACTGGTGGAAGATTATCCTCTAACTTTGAACCGAACCGAACATTACAAAACCATTTTCTTCCTTGAAGTAAATCCTTCCACAGCCTTCCAGTATAGATGGTGGTTTCGCCCATTGAAGAGGAGGAGGCTGTTTCTCCAGCCCACGGAGCAGCTGTTGCCCGTGAAACAAATCTGACCACGACTCCTATCCAGTCACACGGAGCTAACATAGTCAGACATGTCCTCACGCTTTTAAGAAATGTCGCTCTGGGGATACATGTGCATCTGTTACTGGCAGTTCTTAAACCCAGAAGAAAGAAGTAAATGCCAGAGCCATTGCTTCCTCCCTCACCAGGGCCTCAGATAGTTCCTGTCCTGTTGCCACAGTCTTGGCGCAAGCTGATTGTGTCAGAGGACCAGGTTTTCCTTTCCAGTTGTCCTGGGAAGCTCTGTAGGATCTCTGAAAGATGGCTGTGAGCAGTTGAGGAGAGCCCCTAAGGCTTCTAACTCTGGGTCTCAGTCCTGCTTGGCACACCTGAAAGTCAGGGTGTGATCTCATTCTGCCAGAAAGATTTCCATGTACTGCAGGGTTTCCTAGGCCCTGTTTTCCATGTGGGTATGCAATGCTAATCCTCTGTGAGTTGGTCTGTAGACTTTTTTAATTCGGGGTTGTGACTAAGTCAATTTTTTCAAAAAATGGAAACACTGAATATTCAGGTGGCGGTGAAACCTAATCGAATGTCATTGGTAGTATACTACACTTGGCCTAAAAAGGAGTTGGCTAGAGCCTTTTCATTTTGAGCCAGTCCTGGGGCTTGAGTTTAGGGCCTGGATGCTGTGCCTGAGCTTGCTTTCTTTTCCGGTCATCGGGCTTGAACTCAGGTCCTGGGCACTGTCCCTGAGCTTTTTTGCTCAAGGTTAACTACTTTAAGCCACAGTACCACCTCTGGTTTTCTGGGGTTAATTGGAGATAAGAGTCTCATGGACTTTCCTTCCCCGGCTGGCTTTGAATTGTGATCCTCAGATCTCAGCCTCCTGGGTAGTTAGGGACAGCTTCTGGCTGGCCCTGAGCTTTTGTATTCAAGGCTGGTGCTCTACCACTTTGAGTCACAGCTCCCTTTTCAGCTTTTTGGTAGATAATGAAGGTAAGAGTCACAGACTTTCCTGCCTGAGCTAGCTTTAAACTGTGATTCTTAGCTCCTCAGCCTTCTGAGTAGCTAAGATTACAAATGTGAGCTACCAGCGCCTGGCAAGATTAGGCTTATAATGAGTTAATTTTAGTCATGTGTCTATATGTATATGGTTCATTTAAAACCATTCCAAGTGTTTATCAATTGTACTTTAGCTTAATGACTAATTATTCTGTCCTTAACTTAAACTTCTAGACTCTTTGTGTCTGATGTAAGGGAATTTCTCAACTGCAGTGTCAGTGGCCTGAGGGGGAAGTATTTAACCTGGTTCTTCATTTGATTACGTGAAAGAAATTTAATAATTTGTGTAATTTCAACCTTTGAACATGACCGTGTATGACAGAGTTGGATACAGTCGTGGCAAGAATAAGTTAGTGGCATTTTGTTGTAAGCTAAGGAATAGCGAAAGATGTTTCTGATAATGACTTGAACTTTCAGAGATCCCTTTGCTGAGATGTCTTTAACAATTAGTGTTTGGTTTGTTGTTATGAAATCCGTCCTCTCTGTTGAAGCAAGGAGACTTTCCTGTGACTGTGACGGTAGAGAGTCCTTCATCGTCAGAGCTGGAAGAGATGGATGATTCTTCAGAAGGTGTTTGTGAAGTGCCTGAGAAAACCATTTCAGTAAAACAAGAGGCATTACAGGTACAGAGCTGTCACTTTCAAATTACAAAGATTATTTCAAACTGTGGTTGACACTTGGCAGAAGCTCATTTGTGAGAAGCCCCTGGGCAGCTTTTGTGGGTTATTTGTCTGTGTGTTAACTCGTGTGGCACTAAATGATTCCTTACATTAGAACAAGGTAAGAGACGTCCATGAGATGAGGCATGTTAGAATCATAGAATAGTAGACATAAGGAGAACCTTAGAGATCATAAAATATCCTCAAGAAATGGAGTGTTGTATGCAATCAATGGGTTTAATACTCTTTTTTTTTTTAATGATTACAAAGGTGATATACAGAGGTTTAGTTACGTGAGTCAGGTAATGAGAACGTTTCTTTTTGGACTGTGTTACCTCTTCCCTTGTTCTCCCAGTTTTTCCCTCCCACTCTACCCACACATTGTATAGTTCTCAGTATCTCAGTATTTTGCAAGCCAGAAAACTGACTGGGTTAGCTGAATTTTCTTTTTTCTTTTTGGGTCCGGTTGTGGGCCTGAACTCTGGGCCTGGGCGCTGTCCCTCAGCTCTTCAGCTCAAGGCTAACGCTCTACCACTTGAGCCACAGCGTCACTTTCGGCTTTTTTCTTTTTGCTTATGTGGTGCTGAGGAATGGAACCCAGGGCCTCATGCATGCAAGGCAAGCGCTCTACCACTGAGCCACCTTCCCAG